CTTCTTCAAGTTCATCACCCATCCAGCATGGATGAAATCCAACACTTGAATACCCAAAAGACCAGCAAAGGCAGGACAGCCTAGTCGCCAGTCAATTCTACAGGAATGGAGGTAGTATCACCCATCGACGCGGATACTTCGGTCTCCCGTCCTTCCCATCAAATATCTGTGATGGCAAACAAATCATGTTAGCAATGCATTCATATCAATACATTCTGACACTCCATGAATGCAACATGTAGATGTTAGCATGCTATCCATCAAATATAGTTTTTCCCCCCACCATCCTATTTAAATAGAGTAATAGGCAGTGACAAATAGGTTTGCTAAGGAATCGATTTTTGAATCAATCTAAAATTCGAAACAAACTATCTTAAGATAATAAGAACAGAAAACTTTTGGTATCAAATTTCGTTGTAGTTCAGTTTACCAAGCAATTATTAATCATGCATGCAGACCCACCCACCCAAGCACTGACACACAATCTGCAAATCAAACTATACACATTTTTTTATGTATTATAGAGTTATTCTCTAACAAGGTAATTAAATATAGTTCCTAATAAGAACTCGATTCTCAGCTAGTAAACCCTATATGGACGGCTAAAATGCACAATGGGCAAGATCTAATACACTGAGAAACAAGTCTTTCCTTATTATAGAATATCTATGCAAGTAACTATGTACAAATATTATTTTTGAAAAGTCATGAAATTAAACCCAGCCGAGGTAGTTTTAAATGTAGAGCAAGATGTTAGCTAAATGGAGACCGACATTGAAGCAACAAAACACAAGCGGTTATTGGTGTACAGAAACAGTCTAGAAGATTACCTTCTTCAAACGGTGGTGCTTTGCAAGGGCCCAATTTGTCATGATAGATGCAGCAACTACAAGGAAGACATAACCAGCAACTGTCTGCGTTGCAATATTGAAGCCCAACCACTGATAGATCTCTGTAGTGTAATTTGCACATGTCACAATATTAAACAGAAAACCATGTGGAATTTGATATCCTCCATTTCCATCAGGGCTTCGCAGGTTCCTCAGCAGGATATGGCAATAGAAGTTTGAGATCTGAAATATTATCCCCACAGCAAACCCAATCTTCATTTGGAGGTCACTAACAGGGGTGTAAAGTGGGTGATTCATATAGTAAGCTATGTAGGAGCCAAAGCTCCAATAATAAGCACAATTCCGGAATACATTCAAGAGTGGTGAGGTTGCATGACTGAAGCGATGTACAAAAAATGTCTCCATAATACGTTTGAAGTAGTGGAAGCACCAGTAGTATAGAGCATATGTTTGGACTGGGCGGATGACACGATCTCCTTTGAAGCCCAAGTACTGGTAAACATTGAAGTAGTAAAAGATGGGATAAAGGACCAAAGGCCCCAAATACTCAAAGAAGAAGAGTGTTTTATAGGACACTTGTGGGCCTAGGTCCTTGAACACCACAGTTAAGTTGTCTGAGTTTTCACTGATATAATCTTTGAGACTCTTCTTGTAGTTAAGGACAACTGGCCTCTCTTTTGATCCTGGTTGGACGGGGAGAGTAAGCCGCTGCCTTGCAGGATAGAACTTTTTGGCTGTTGACATAAGGCATGAAATCATGTTACGATAATTCATAAAACACAGAACCTCCTATACAAATTTCTTTGGGAGGGGCAAGTTTCTAATGGAATAAGGCATATAAGGATGAAAAAAAGCATCAATAATGACATATATTAACGTAGACAATAACAGATGTCAATAACAAATAATTCAGGCCAGGAACCCAAATTCCAAGTTTGCTAACAATGTTTAAGTATTTGTATTTCTAAGACAAAGGAACCACACTGTACACACATGGCTCCCCATGATTTATTCTTCATTTTCTTTTAAAAAGGGATAGATCAAAATACTTTAGTTAATCCAAAACAATAGTACAGGATTGTGTCCAAAAAAAAAAAAAAAATTAGTAAAATATGCATTAAACAAACATGATGATGCAGCAAGACTTAAAGTCACAGTTCTTAAGCATAGAGCGCTCAATCAATCTTATCTTTGGGTTAAAAAATGTTGATTGACCAGAAAAACAGTCTTAACAGACAAGGTTTAAATAAGTTCAACAGAAAAGAAAAGCATAACCAGTTTAAATAAGTTCAACAGAAAAGAAAAGCATAACCAGCACTTACTTCGCTTATGGATCGCCTCCTGCAGATCAGTCACAGTGGCCTGCAAGGCAAACAGAGAGACGAAAAAAGTCAGCAAAGGTAACAATTGGGTTCTACTAGTAGTTGAAGACTTGAACCTTTAACCATTTGAATTTAGAAAAAACTGTAATCTTTCACTAAACTGAACCCAACCCAACAAAAATTTCAAAACTTGATTGCTTTCGTTTTGTGTTATTTTCTCATTGAAATAGAGATATCGATGAATTACACAACTAGCGGAAAAGAAGAAAGTAAAAGGTAAAGAAAAGCATACAGAATCACTGAGCTCAAGGCCACCCTTAACAACTTCTCGACCACTCCGTGAAACTACGGTCACCTTCATCTTTTCAGAGCAAGTGAGAGAGACCCACTTCAGCAAATCGAGCAAGAAGCAAACCCTTTAAGCCGTGAGCAAAATCACGCAACTTCCATTCAAATTGCAGAGCACGAATGAATGAGAAGAAAGAAAAAGAAATGAGATTGAGAGTGAGATCCGAAAATGGTTGCAGGCTAAGGCTCTCTTTAATAACGACGATGATGTTGAATATTGAATTTGTTTGGGTGTGCAGTTTAGTGTAGAGTAGGAGTTGGTTTGGGCGATTTCGGATGTAGAAATTAATGGCGTACGGTTGGGGTAGGGTAACTAACTATGGAGGCTGATCAACAACACCACTTAACCCCCCAAACTCCAACCTCCAGCTAAACGAAAACTACACTACTGATCAAGTTTGGAATAGGGCTTGCTTCGGTGGGCCATGGTTTTAACTATCCATCCTATCCGAACCCATCAGACCCGCCTATCCTCAATGCGCGTCGTTTCAAGGTTCATTACGATGTTATGCGCTAACAATTTCTCTTGTATTGGACGGACAATTTTTAGCAAACATATGAAATTTTTAGGGATTTGTGATGTGAAGTGAAACTAACAATTTCTTTTTATCATTTCACATGAGTTAGCAAACATATGAAAATTAAGAATCAAACTGATCGGAAAATCAGGAATAAGAATCATTCCACCGCGTACTGTTTAATAACTTCACACTGATGTTTGAATGCTCATTATGTAATTTATTGTCTGGGGCCCATGCAGTAAATACTATAACCAGATCTATAATTAAGCCGTCGGTGCAATTATTCAATTCAATGCTCATAACTAAATATTTAAATTCCTAAATTCATTGTTATTGACCAACTTCATGGTTCAATTCGAGCTGCTTTTTTTTTTCTTTTTCTTTTTTCTCATGAAAGTTTTGTTTTAGGAGAACAGCTTGCATCTCACGAGAATAACATTGTTTTGCCATCCCCATCTAATCACATTCCTTCATGTGGAATCATTATCACGCGTGACGGAATGTGATTAGTTGGAAATGGCAGTGCTATCCCGGAAATATACAAGATTTGTCACATCTACATACCCTCAAACTCCCCAAATGAAGGAAGCAAACCAGATGCATTTTCTTCAGCTTTATCCAAAATAATTGGGTGACTTAGTAAACTTACATTCAAAACAGGAGTGAACCAAAAAAGTAAATTTATGCCATGGTACAGCACTTAAACAAAACAACAAAGCAAGAAACATACCAAACACCTAAATCCAATACTTCTACTACAGAGCCAAGTACACTGGGGTAGATCCCACAGTTCAAACTTCAAAACAATCTAACGTCAGGCCTGCAACTTAATATCTCATAGCTACTAGCCTCTCTGAGTATCTTTCCATTGTAAATACAGCTATTTCTCTCAACCCTAGTACATAATAATGGAAAAGGATGTACAAGTGCCAATCCCCAACTTGTTCATCCACTGAAAATATGTTGCAAAAGGAACCGTGTAACAGTGCATAAAAATAATGGAAACATAACTATGGAATACAAGTCCAATGAGAACCGTTGGTTTCCACGGGCAGCAAAACCATTCACAGGGGCTCTAGACTGGTGCCAGAAGAACCAGGGCATACATAATAGGCAGTATGATTTGACATAAAGAATTTTTCATACCAACTTTGCAAAATCAATCTTGTGAGGCAGCAGTTGTGACGAGGACAAGACTCAACTATCCTAACACCTCTATAGCTGTACCTAGCATCTCATCCCGCATTAATATGCTTTTCAACTTTTCCATTACCAAGGACCTACTTTCAGACATCAACTGGGTGAAGACTCAACCCCACAACCAACTGAAAAAGAAATCATATTATTCATACCAAAGACCCCAAACTACCTACCATAAAAGCACACAAGAATTATTTGTTTACCCAGCAATGACTATTGAGAATAAATAAAGCCTCGTAAATGGTAGTAAAATTTCCTGAAGGAAAAAAATAATCCATTGCTTCATGCATCAGTGCCCAAAAGTGGGAGAGCTCCCACATGTGTGTTCAGCTCTTGAAGGAATACGCATCACACAGAAACACTTCAATGTTAGGTAATATAGAACGAACAAGAATGGGGCTGTAGAAAATTGGGACAGACTAAAACGTATAAAAAACATAAACCATAGCAAGAAATTAGAAAAAATGTCATGTTATCAATTACCAGCAATTGCATGGAAATTTCTATTCTGTCTTCTAAACAATGTCCGCAATGATGAATGAATCTGCATATTCGGATGCTATATGCAGTGTGAATTTCCATATAATATACAAAGTTAAATATACTAATTACAATATAACTGAAAGACAGGAATGAGTTTACAACCAAGCTACTATGACTGTACACAAACTGATATAAGTAAAAACTTTTTGTGATAAACATTACAAAATAATGTTCAAACTTTCAAGGCATAAACATACAAGGAGACAGAAGAAACATGGATAAGCATCAGAATAGACTTTAAAAACAGGGTAACAAATAGACATTCAAAACAAGGTAACACATTTGAAAGGCAGATGATCAATCATAAAAAAATATAGTTCAGTCTCAATTAAAAAGGTTTTCAAGCAAACTCATTAGGCAAATTTACAAATATCCTCATACTCAACAGCTTTAAGAACTCTACCATCATACACACCCTTCTCTATCTGCACCTTAGCGCAAAACTTATCTGTGTCCACTGCCAGCAACTTTGCATTTGATCCTCTGTAAGCCCCATTCACTATCTTCACGAGGCACCCAATTTGCGGAATCACGGTCTCCAGCTCTGCCTGGTCAACTCTCAAGACGTGCTTGCTTTCAAGCATTTCAATCTCCCCCACATACTTGTCGATCACTTTTCTCACAACCCCTTTTTGCTTATAGTAACCCTTGTCAGCCAATGCTTTACTCATAACTTTAACAATGATTCCTTCGCATAACCAATAATCCTTCCTATTAATCCTCTCCTTCTTCTTCTCATCCTCCCTCATCAACTCCTCCAATGCCAAGCTCCCCGCGCCACCACTACTTCCATTTTTCGTCGAATTCTTAACCTTACTCTTGTCATCCTCTACCTCATCAAAAACCAATTTCGAGCTCTCCCCTTTTTCTTTCGAACCCAATTTCGAGGACCCAAGTGCAAAACCAATCTTGACCCCACTCTCCACTTTAATTTTCCTATGGATCTCATCTTCTGAACCTTGATCAACCCCATTACCCACGGGCATCGACTGAGCAACCCTCTCAATCTGCTTCTTAATCTCTCTCTCCTGCTTCTCCTCCTCAGCCATATCCGCCCTGAGTCTCTTGTTCTTCAACCTCTCCTTAAAAAGGGTCTCCGAATCTCTATCGATATAAGTAATGAACCAACCCTTTGGCGTCTCCTCAACCTTACACTTACCCGTCCTCCCCAAGTGCTTCACGAACTCGGTTAACGTGGCCCACTCAGTCGAGTTCATATGAACATGGTGGCGGTCGTTGATGTACTCGTTGTAGACCACGGTGGCGGCGATACGGCTGAACCGGTGGCTTCGTTTCATCAAATCGAGAAAACTTTGCTCGAACTCCTCGGAGTAGCCATCGACTATGCGATTAGAGTTTTCGCCGAAGATCTGCATCTGCCGCTGGTGGCTTTCGCTCATGCAGTGGCATTTGAAGCCGTTCTCGTCTCGACATTGCTTCTGGCACATCTGGCAGTACCATCGAAGCTTCTGGAGTCCCTTGGCCTTGATCCGATTGGCAATTGCCTTGGGGGTTAGGAAGTCGTTCTTCCCCATGATGATTTTACCGCCGAATTGACAGAAATATTGGTGTAATTTGAATCAGGATTGGGGTGGTGTTTTGATTGGGGAATTGGCAATATAAACCCTAGATGACGGAAGGGCTGGACCTGATGAGGGTTTTATTTTTCGTGAAATCTCAAGAGCAAACCCGCAAGTCGCGACGTTCTCTTCTTTTTATTTCCCAACAATATATCCCCTTCCTTTTTATACTAATGTCATGTTTACTTTCCAAATTCTTATGGGTTTCCAAATTTCTGATTTCCTATTTGTTCCGAATTAAAAATTATCTGGGTTTTCTGTAATCAAATACCTTTATATTCTTTTTAAAAACAAAAAAAATACCTTTATATTCTTTTTCTTTTTTTCTTTTTATTTTTTCCAAAGGAATGAACATGTCATTACCATAGAGTGTTACATAAAAGTCCAAAATAAAAGTCAGAAAAATAAAAATAAGGGCTCAACCAAACAAAATAAAAACCCAATCTAAAATACAAAAACCCTAGATTATATTCAGGAATGCAATTCCCATTCTTTGATTTTCCTATGTAAATTCCTAAATTCATAACCTCTCCGACCCTATTATATTTAGGAAGAAAATTATAAAATGCTTGCCATCAAACATTACGTCGAATGTAAAATGTTCACATAAACGTACAAAGAAAGCATTACGATGAATTACGTTAGCATTAGTTGCACATAAAATCGTGAATGATTGTGAGCCGGTGATACAAGAGGGGAAAGAAAACTCACTCAATGGCGCGTGGAGGTTTGATAGGATTTATGAATACTAACTATCTATTATGAATTCATATGTAAATTCCAAATTTTCAGTATAAATCAAATATCATCTGTTTAAACGATTGTGGTATAAATTTGGTAAGTGAATTAAATCAAGAAAATATATATCATAAGTGAATTAAATTAAGAAAAATTAGAAACGCTAAGCATTATTAGTTGCCCAAATAGAAATGGGCTCAAGATGAACCGAAATGGGCTAAAGCCCAAAATAGAAAAAGAATTACGGGTTCGAATTCTAAAGTTCGAACATGAAGGAAATGGGCTAAAGAACTGTGAAGATAAAAGGACGACATATCAGAGTTGAGACGAGTCAGAAGGGCGGCGTAGTATCGTGGTGCAAATCGCGTTGGGCCGTCGTATCGTCGACATCTGTTTAAACTTCTGCAGATGTTTAATCCTTCACCTTTTCAAGATGCTCATTCTGCGGTTGGTCGGTTGGTTGTTATGGGGCAAATGAGATGTTTTATTTAGGACTTGAAAATCAATCTTTGCGTCTGATCATGATGTGGTGGTTAGGGTGTTGTTGTTCTTGGGGTTTTCCCCCCCATTTCATCAAAGAAAGAAAATCAATCTTTGTCTGAGTTTGTCATCTCATGTTTTGAAAGATTAGAAAGAAATTATATATTTGTCTAACCTTAAAATTTCAACTCCTTCCAAGTCGAGGAGAGGCCATTAGGAGTTAACATTAACAACCAATAAGATGTGACAGTTGATGAGTACAAGTTATCTCAGTTTATAGCATGCCACAAATTGAAGTTCCTTGCATCATTATTTTAGATCAGTCTCAATTCCTTCACAATTTCTTCGGTCACTGTTGAATGTAATCCCCTTCTTCTGGCCGGTCGACATGTCCTCAGCAGAGACCCTTAGAATCCCATTTTCATCAATGTCAAAGCATGTTTCAAATTTAGGAACACCTTGGGGAGCTGGAGGAATGTCATTAAGGTAAAATTCACCTAAAAAGTTATTATTTTTAACAGTTGCACTCTCACCCTCATAAACGCGAAAGGGGACAGAAGATTGGTTGTCCTGGGAAGTAATAAAACCACCTTCTTCTTGACAGGAATTCTGGTGTTTCTTGGAATCACAACTGTCATAAAATCTTTCTCACCCGTATAGAGTGAAGTCGCTACCCCAAGTGACACAGGGGTGACATCCAAGAGTCTGAAGTCTTGAAGCTTCCCAGTTGGATTCCCACCACTCAAGACTGCAGCTTCAACAGCGGCACCGTATGCGATAGCCTCGTCAGGATTAAGGCCATTGCACAGCTCCTTCCCGTTGAACACCTCCTGCAAAAGCTGTTGCACCTTGGGGATCCTAGAAGAGCCACCGGCAAGGACAACATCATCGATGCTGCTTATGTCCATATTTGCATCCTTCAAACACTTTTCAACAGGCTGCATGCATATCTCAAAGAAATCCGTGTTGAGTTGCTCGAATTTGGCACGTGTAATAGTCAAGCAGAAATCAATACCCTGATTCAAACAATCAATGTCAATGTCAGTCTCAGACATAAACGAAAGCCTCCTCTTCGCCTTCTCACAGGCATTTCTTAACCTCGCAAGAGCCCTTGGGTTTCCACTAATGTCTACATTATGCTTCCTCTTGAATTGCTCAACACAATAATTCACCATTCTGTTATCAAAGTCGTCACCTCCTAGATGAGTGTCTCCAGAAGTGGCCCTCACTTCAAAGACACTATCAGCTATGGTAAGAAGTGAAACATCCAAAGTACCACCACCAAAATCAAATATCATCACATTTCTCTTGCTATACCAACCGGACTTCCTGTCAAGCCCATAAGCAATGGCTGCAGCAGTCGGCTCATTGATGATACGCATCACATTTAGGCCAGCACTAGCACCTGCATTTTTCGTAGCCTGTCGCTGAGAGTCGTTAAAGTAGGCAGGGACGGTGATAACTGCATTTTTCACCGTTGAACCGAGGTAGGCCTCAGCAATCTCCCGCATCTTTAGAAGAACCATAGATGAGATTTCTTCAGCGGCAAATTGTTTCTCCACGCCCTTGTGCGTAACCACAAACATTGGCTTCTGAGCAGGACCTTCAACGACCTTGAATGGCCCATGCTTCATATCATTTTGAACGCATTCATCACTGAACCTCCTACCAATTAACCTCTTTGCTTCTGCAAATTGATGACAAAATTAGAAATACACAATTCGACAAGGAAACAGGTCATACGATAAAAATAAAAGCATATTTTTAATATAAAGATGTTGTAATTACTGACATGCTATATGTTATAATTTATAAGCAAACGATAGTGAATAAGTACACCTTCTGTGCGGAACAAATCAGTTTTAATAAAAGTACTAACTTATGAAGTGTCGGAGAGAAACGAACAAAAACAAGAAGACATACAAATTTTTTTTTCTTTTTAAAGGAAGAAGCAGAGCCTCAGCAGATTACAAAGCTTATTTGTGAAACAAATTAATTGGTCATATGTGGGAAAGTCATGATCTTACCGAAGATGGTGTTGACGGGGTTTTTGAGGACCTGATTGAAAGCAGCATCACCAATGAAGCGGTCAGTATCTGTGAAAGCAACGTGAGAAGGAGTTGTCCTGTTCCCCTGATCATTCACTATAACTTCTACATGATCATGCTGCACGCAGCCACGCAAGAGTAGGTTGTCCCCAGGTCAATTCCGATAGCATGGTTAGCTCCCGCCATTGTCAGCTAAAAGGAAACTTGAAAGAAGAAAAATGGGTGAGCGCCTCAAGTCTCTGACTTGTGTAGCATAGACCGGTCCGAGTCGTAATAATAGACCAGAGGAAGACTTGTTTGGGAATGTGTAATCGGTCTTACAAAGAATTTAGGGTTTTCAGTTTGGTACCCTACGATTGTCCCTGTATTTTTTTTTCAATTTCAACAAAAAAGTGTCAAAAAATATTCAATTATGCTCATATATTTTATTCTTCTATAATATGAATGTATTTATAAAGAAGTACAACCCTAAATAAAATAGGAAATAAATTCAAATTACAATAGAAAATAAATATAAATTACAGTAGGGAATAAATCTCTATTATAATAGGACTAGATAAATGGGCAAGTAACCAAAATCCTAACTAAGTAAGGACTTGCCAACAAGAAGTACACCTAGGTTGAAAAATCGTTGCAATGTGGTTTCATTGTTAGCTTGATCGTTAGAAAAGCCGTTAAGTGATGATGTGTCACTTGTGGAGTCTTCTGTATTTTACTTAAATTGATTAAAATATTAAAAACCCAATTAAAAAAAAAAGAAATAAGATTAAAATCAATAACAAAAAACCCCTCATGTATGTGAGTATTTCATTGTTTAAATTGAAAATGTAAGGATCTTAAGAATTCAACTGTAGACTACCAAACTAAAATTAACTCAATAATTTATTTTGATTCATTATTTTATGTAGCATTAAATTCTATGTACCATTACAACATAATACAATAAAGCGGTCAGTATATGTGAAAGCAACATAAGAAGGATATATACAATTTCTGCTACTATATAGCACGCTAAAGTATATATACAATTTTTATAATATTAATATACATATATATCATAAAGATAATTTTTTTTTTCAAGGGTCTTAAAAAATTGTGGGCCTTGTGCGGTGGCACCACTTGCACCACCCCAGAGCAACCCCTGAGAACAGTAAAATTACTTTTAAAAAAAGAAGAAGAAGAATATTCATAATTCAGCGTTTTGAGCCTGACTAAGTTGATCAAAGCAGACATTAAATATTAATGAATACTATCTGTTATGAATTCATGAGCAATTTACACCCTTGGCATAGTAGTAGAATGACTGTAATTTTCAGTATATAATATGTATTTCAATCTTTGTATGGTCGTTGCTCACTCATATAACCAACACAAAAGTTAAGTTGGTAAGGTATGGTTCTTCATAATTCATCATTTCTTATATCTCATATTTCTAAATTTTGATACTATTTAGTTCTTTTGTTGATGTTAATTCTAATCCTTTTCTTATGATCGGTGAAATTAACAACGTAATTAAATATTAATTTTAAGAACACCCTCCTAGGACCAAAAGTGACTTTTAACCTATAATTAATATCTATGAATAAAAGAAAACAAAATGATAAGTTAAATTTAGTTCAAACTTTATATTTTATTTTGTCACAAATTCTTATGTTATTAATAAGCATTAGTTACGCTAGCATTATTACTTGCCCAAATAAAAATGGGCAAAAAGTTGAACCCAAATAGGCTAAAGCCCAAAACAGAAAAAGAATTACGGGTTTAGTCTCTAAAGTTTCAACATGAAATGAGCTCGAGAACTGTGAAGATAAAACGACGACGTGGTATGTGATGTTGTAACCTAGGATAGAAGGCCTGCGATTGTGGCCGAACCGGTTCAGGGTTCAGATGAATCAGAACTACGGCGTCGTATCGTCGTCTACAGGCAAGGGTACCTAATAATTCTTTTAGAATGAAATTATATATTGTCTAACCTTAAAATCTCAACTCCTTCGAAGTCGAGGAGAGGCCATTAGGACTTAACATTAACAACCAATAAGATGTGACAATTGATTAATACAAGCTAATCCCAGTTTATAGCGTGCCACAAATTGAAGTTCCTTATATCACTTTTTTACATCAATGTCTCAATTCCTTCGCAATTTCTTCGGTCACTGTTGAATGTAATCCCCTTCTTCTGGCCGGTGGACATGTCCACAGCAGAGACGCTTAGAATACCATTTTCTCAATATCAAAGCATGTATCAAATTCAGGAACACCCCGGGGAGCTGGAGGAATGTCATCAAGGTCAAAAGTAAAGGAATTGTAATTCTTATTAACCGTAAGAATCATTTGTACAAGCTTTATATTAAAATACAATGATGAGCTGATGATGAGCTGTCAAATACAGCTGTATAAGATTAGTTACAGATGGCTAACTAACAACAAACTATTTACTGCCTTTAGCCCCCCTCAAGCTGAAGGGAGGAGAACGCACTGTGAGCTTGGAGCGAAGAAGAGAATGTTGGGCAGCAGATAAGGGTTTGGTAAAGACATCAGCAAGCTGATGTTCAGAGGAAACAAATTTAATAGACATGAACCGTTGCTGAACCAATTCCCTTGTAAAGTGATAATCAACCTCCACATGTTTGGTCCGGGCACTAAACACTGGATTGGAAGCAAGATGAATGGCAGATTGATTGTCACACCAGAGAAGTGGAAGAGAAGGTAACTGAAAACCAATGTCTTTGAATAACTTGGACAAATAGAGCAACTCGGCAGCAGTCATAGCCAGACCATGATACTCAGCTTCAGTAGAACTACGAGACACTGTCGGTTGCTTCTTAGCAGACCAGGAAATTAAATTGGAACCAAGAAAGATACACCAGCCACTGGTAGACCTCCGATCAATAGGACAACCAGCCCAATCAGCATCCGTGAAGGCTTGCAACCCAAGAGAACCCTTAGTAAACCAGACCCCCATGTCCAGAGTGCCTTTAAGATAACGAAGAATTCGTTTAACAGCACCCAAGTGATTAGAACGAGGCTGATGCAAGTGCTGACAAACAAGATTAACAGCATAGGATAGGTCTGGTCTAGTCCAAGTAAGATATTGAAGGGCACCCACAGTAGAGCGATAGAAAGTAACATCTTCAAGAATATCCCCAGAATTATCCAACTTGAAAGAACCAAGGGGAGTTGAACAAGAACTAGCCCCAAGAAAATCTGTCTTCTTGAGAAGATCACAGGCATATTTGGTCTGAGAAAGAAACATACCTCGGGCAGATCGTGTGACCTCCAAGCCAAGGAAATAGTGTAAGGGACCAAGATCCTTAACTGGGAACTTTGCACTGAGATGAGAAATAAGAGAGGTACAATCTGTGTTGCAGTTTCCAGTGACCAAAATATCATCAACATAGACCAAAACAAGAACAAGAGAGGCACCACTTGACTTAATGAAAAGAGAAGAATCTGCCTGAGAAGATCGAAACCCCAGAGAAACCAAGGCTTTGAACAATTCATCATACCAGGCCCTGGGAGCCTGTTTTAAGCCATACAAGGATCTATTGAGCTGACAAACAAAATGAGGCCTGGTAGGATCGGCAAAACCAGGTGGCTGAGACATAAAAACATTTTCCTTCAAAAAACCATGAAGGAAAGCATTACTCACATCCAATTGATTTAAGAACCAATCATATTGGACTGCCAAAGAAAGAAGAAGTCTGATCGTAGTAGGCTTAGCCACAGGACTGAAAGTTTCATGAAAATCCAAGCCTTCCCGCTGATGATACCCCTTAGCAACCAAACGAGCCTTGAATTTGTCAACAGTATCATTAGGTTTAAACTTAGTGCGAAAAACCCACTTAGAACCAACTAAATTCTGATTTGAAGATGGAGGGACCAAAGTCCAGGTGTTGGTTTGTTCCAAAGCAGCAAGTTCACTCTTCATGGCCTCAACCCACACGGAATGTTTAGCAGCTTGTTTATAGGTAGTGGGAGTGGGAGGAAGAAGAGCAGTAGAATGTAAAGAAGGAGGCAAGGGATGCTTAGTGGCTGTAAGAGCTTTAGGTTTAAAAATACCATGTTTTGAACGAGTGATCATAGGATGAGTGTTTTGAACAGGGATAGAAGAAGAAGGAACAGAAAAGGAAGATTGAGAAGGGGGAGAAACAAACGGCACAGAAGAGGGAGGAGAGGAGGAGGATAAGGACGATAAAGGGGACTCTGAAGGAGAGGAAGTGACCATAGGAAAAGTGAGAGGAATGATAGGAAAAGAAGAAGAAATAGAATCAGAAGAGGAAGAAGAAACAACAGCATGAAAAGGGAAAATAGATTCATGAAAAGTAACATGTCTAGAGACATAAAGACGATTGGTAACAGGATCAAGACAACGAAACCCAGAATGATTAAGACTATAACCCAAAAACACACAAGATAAACTCTTGGGATGTAATTTGGATGGACTGTAAGGTTTTAACCAAGGAAAACATTGGCAACCAAAAATTTTAAGGGAATGATAATTGGGTTTGGAGTGAAATAGTAGTTCAAAAGGAGAGACACGAGAGGAGGTAAAAGGTAGGCGGTTGATAAGGTAAAGGGCAGTGAGAAAGGCATCAACCCAAAACTGAAAAGGAACTTTAGAAGCAGCTAACAAAGTTCTAGCCAATTCAACGATGTGCCTGTGTTTTCGCTCTGCAGCACCATTCTGCTCGGGAGTATGAGGGCAGCTTAATTGATGAACAATGCCCTCTTGATTAAGAAACTGCTGAAAACTAGAACTTAAGAATTCCCCACCAGAATCACTCCTGAGCATCTTGACTTTAGAGTCCAGCTGGTTTTCCATTTTGGCCTTAAAAGTCTTGAAAATACCAAAAACATCGGATTTGAACTTCATGGGGTAAATCCAAGCATACTTGGTAAAATCATCCAAGAAAAGAACATAGTATTTATATCCCGAAACAGAATGTACAGGACTAAGACCCCAGACATCACTATGCAACAATTCCAAAGGCTTTGTAGTCTTAGAGCCTGAACCATGAAATGGAAGTTTGGATGCCTTTCCTAGCTTACAAGCAGAACATAGTACATTTGTAGAAAATGAACCAGACAAAGGGAGGTTATTATGACTAATGACTTGCCGAAAAACAGAAGCATGAGGATGACCTAATCTCTGATGCCAAGTGAGCAAATCACATTTATTTACCATA